ACTTACGTACGTACGTACGTACGTACTTACCTACACACTTACATGCGTACTTACATGCATGCATGCATACATACCTACAGACATACATGCATACATATACACTAGGTTTAGGGTTTTAGTGCTTAGGGCTTAGGGTAAGTACTCTGCCCTTAAGGCGACGGGGTCATGAGGATAACGGTATTCTAACTTTCTGGCTACTACTTTAGGGTCTGAAGCCGGATGGTTTCGTGACCAGGCATAATGCCACCCTCTCTGAGCCTCTAAGACCGGCCATAAAGCCTCTAACCCCTAGGCCCCTTAAGCCCAACACAACCTAGAAGTTCTGTTCGGAAGCCCCTCCCTAAAAACCCTGCTTGCAGCCGTACTCAACGAGTTCAAGCCCTACGCTAAGCTCCAAAGGCCTTTTCATATTCAGGGTGGCTTCGACTGCTCGTGCCAACCTTCGTCAACGAAAAATGACATCTACAATGATAGATGGGTGGTTGTCAAAATTATGGTCCCCTTTTGGGTCCTTATTATAATACGGCACCAATTATTTAGGGTACCCCAAAAGGGACCATAATTTTGACAACTACCCAGATGGATGGCTGCTTGCAGCCATGGTAAGCTGGAAAATGTGCCTGAAAAAACAAAATGCTTAGAACCTCTCCAAAACTCCATGCCGTAAAAACAACAACAGCACAACTCAACACTCCTTAGACAGAGCCCAGTAGTGGACAGGCTTCAACGCCAGTATCAGTGCCTGCGGTCAGGCGTCACGTTGGCAGGAGTCCCAAACACTCAACCCATTGACCTACCTCCCCAGGGGTCTCAGGGTGAGAGAAGGGTCTCACAAAATGCACCATACCCAAACTGAATCACGATAGTAATTGTTAACATAGAAACCCTCCATTCCACGATATAGCTACCTAACCCTTTGGGGGTCATTTTCACGCCAAACCCTAAGCCCCGAAACCCCATAAGCGTAGAACCCACAAACCCCGTGAGCCCTTTGACCCTAAACCCCAAACCCCTAAACCCGAAACTCCTAACCCCCAAAACCCCTCATCCCTAAACCCTAAACCCCGAAACCGCCGCCAGAGTGTAGGGGGCTTACGGGCAGAGCCCGAGACCGTCCATGTTCAGGGTTTGCAGGATTTGTGCGCAGGGATCTTCCCTGCAAAGGGTTTCTTTCAGGGGCCATGTACCTCAATTTAAGGAGTATTAAAGGGCTATTTTTACCAATACTTTTGTGGGATTTCCTTGTTGTAAGCATAGTATAATGGGCCAAGGCCCCTACACCCTAAACCCTTATAGTCGCCCTTATATAACTTCATTAAGGAACCACCTTTTAAAGGAACCCTATCTAGGACATTTTCAGGTGGTAGGTTACCGTTATAGGACCATATACCTTATAGAAGCTTTATACAAGCCCTATATACCCTAAACCCTAAACCCTAAACCCTAAGCCTATATTTACCCTAAGCTCCCCACCCGTAGCTTCCTTTAAATTATAGCGGCGGCATCCCTAAGTTGATTCAAGGCATACCTTGGCCCCAAGCAACCTACCGTCTTTGGGTTCCTTATTGCAGTTTCCTTATACAAGTCCTTAAAAAGGTAGGTTCCTTTTGGGGCTATTACAGTTTCCTCATACAAGTCCTCAAAAAGGTAGGTTCCTTTTGGGGTTAAGGTATTCCTTAATTGAAGGGGTTTGGAAGATTTGGGTGGTTAAGTTTTTGGGTTTAGGGTTGAAGGTCATGGGTTGGCTTCAGCGAAGTTCAGCGGCAACCGCTACCCTCAAGCACCAAAGCCCTAACACTGCAAGACCCTAAAACTCTAAAGACCCTAAACACCCTAAAAGTCCTAAACCCTAAACACCCTAAAAGCCCTAAACCCTAAACACCCTAAAAGCCCTGAAACTGGACCCTTCCATGCAGGAGGCACTTTTCTTGCTCTCGGTGATGCCAGCAGCCGAGGCCATGTTCCCTGAAGGGATCTATAAGGCTTCACCGCTAGGGTAATATAGGGGCCTTCATAATTAGAATGGGATTCGGGGTATACTATACTATAA